CTCCAGAACATATCCACTGCAACTGAAAAAACTGCTAATCCAGATGTTTTGCTGAAATTATTTCTTGTGAGGACTGCAAGCCTTAGGGCAAGTGTTACTGTCACTATGTCAAAGGCAATATGTTGAGCAGTGGACTAATCTATATGATTGAAGGGACAAGCATGAACCAGCCATGTCTTTAAACTGTTGTAGCTTACATTGACTCTAATTCAGAAAACCATCATGATGATGGCTAATCATTGCTGTTGTGTGACAATTTACCTTGTCACCAGCATATTGTACAATGACATCTGTTTGTGTACCTTCAATTGTTTTTACTGCTAATATATAAAGTACACTACCATAGTAAAAAGGTCATTGAGGTATGCAATAATGTAACCCATGGGACAATTAATGATAATGTGATACATGGTAATGTTCGTAATGTGTAGCATGCATCATAAATATGTATAATTAGCAGTAGAATTGCTGTGATGTAATATCTTGTATCCCATGAAGAGGCTAATATTGGACTTCTAATCTACATCATTGTGAAACCTATATGACTGATAGTATATTTCTTGCACACACAAATTTCTTCTTGAACTGATGTGAACTATAATTTTTTTAAGAAAAACCATAGACTTGCACTTTGTGTGTTCTGCCACCTATTTAAGTGTAATTTTATGGACTGGAGAGAGAAGCTGCAGGTTCCATTCAGAGTTTTCTTTGAATTCTTCCAGTGGGGAGGTTGAGGTGAGGATGGGTTTTCACAAGCATTGTAGACTGGGGTCCATGGAAATCTTGGGGACAGTACGGTGGACGAGGAGTAGGCCTGTGTCTTCGAAAGAGCTCCAAGCTCACTGCAACTTTCCACCAGCCTTTAATGGCGAGTAAGTACATTTTGTAAACAAGACATCTGGGAGAGGAAAGTGAGTCCCAACCACACCCAAAGCAGCCACTGAGGTGGTGAGACTTCACAAGGCACAAACCCTCTCCTTAGGGCTGTGCCTACATGTCACAATCTAGCACAGAACAGCACACAGTCACAACATTGAATCCAAAAGATTGTTCCACAATGGATCAACCCAGACCATAATTTTTTTTAAAGTTGTTTTCTGTGTAAGACATGCCAAAGATCATGTAATTTTTCTGTTTTAGCCTTTGTCAAATTGTGTTTATTGTGGCAAATGGTGGAACTAGAAGTACATGAATACTGGGGGAAATATTTGCAAATATTTCTGTGAATTCTGAATTAAATTTTTGGTTTGGGTTGTTCTGTTCAGGTTCATATGTCACACCCAGCACCATTGTAACTCAGGGGCTTCCCGAGTGTGAAACAAGCCTTTTGTAATACAGTTTACAAGCACTTGGACTGAAAGCTGGCATACAGCTATACCCCATCTTCTGATGTGATCCCCATCAGATCTCACAATTCATATAGCACCAAGTTAGGTCAGATTTGGATGAAATACCTCCAAGGATTACCTACATGCTACAGGAAATGGTGGTGATTCACTAGATCAAACATTCTCTTTGGTATTAGTACTGAATTTATTATTGTTCCATTTCCAAATGGTTAAAGGAACATTTGGCTCTTTGTTGGAAAAGAAAGTGATGCACATATTCATCAGTATACTCTTTTCCTGTCTATTGTTTTCAGGGTATGTACACAGTTCCTGGATAAAGATGACAAAGACAACACTGACATTTCACACAGACACTTTCATTCTCATAGCTCTACATGAAATAGTAAATCCATCTAAGCACCTTTTTGAGCAGAAGTGTCTCTGTTCCCCAAGTACACACTGTTCCAAGTTCTCATGCGTCTGTGTGTCTTAACCTCCACCACAAACAAATTAATCTTTTTATGTTTGGATTGTGAGTCAAAAGCTACAGCTTTAATATGAAAATAGTACCATGATCTGGGGTTGGGACAAATTGGGTAGCAATTACACTGGAATAAAAAAGTGTAGACTCTCAGGCACCATTCATTTAAATGATGCATTTGCTCATACTATTAATTATTTGCAAAACATAAACAGTCCATGAGGGTTCCTATATAGCAGGGGTCAGCAACCTTTGAGAAGTGGTGTGCCAAGTCTTCATTTATTTACTATAATTTAAGGTTTCACGTTCCAGTAATACATTTTACATTTACAGGGGCCGGCGGACGGAACCCCAGACTGGCAGCACGGGTGGCAGACGGAACCCCAAACCAGCAGCGACCTGAGCCGCTCAGCCCGCTGCCGGCCCGGGGTTCCGTCCATCCAGGCAGGCAGCGGGCTGAGTGGGGCTGGCGGCCGGGACCCTGGCTGGCAGCAGAGTGCCACTAACAATCAGCTCGCATGCTGCCTTTGGCACATGTGCCGCAGGTTGCCAACCCCTGCTATATAGCATTAGGGGGTATTATGTTGCTCCAGATAAAAGCACTTGACTCAGAGGTGAAACAGAAATCCTAACCTATTTGTAGTTATTGTGTAGCTCCAAAAATATATATTAAAGAAGGTTCCAAGGGCATGTTTTGCTAGAATAGAAATCGTAGTCCTCGTATTCTCACCAAATTCCAACTTAGATAATAACATACTGCATTGTTAAAGTTCTCCTGCAGTTATCATTGGATAAGATATTCTTCATTTCATGTCCAAAAGCATCACGTGCTCCTAAATAGCTGCTGAAATCTACCATAGAGTTAGCTGTATTTTATTACTGAGTGAAGTTACTTCAACTTATCTTTCTTGTCTCACAGGGATGTTATAAGACTTAATTAAATGATTGTATTAACACACTGAAAATCTTGGATAAATGATCCAAGTGCAAATTATTATTACATTTTCCACTAGCTGTCAAACCAATTTCATGTAGAAAGTGTCCTTCAGGGAGTGTCCATAACCAGCCTGATATTCTAGATCGGTAATGTTTGTTTGTGACCTTACCAGTAGGGCATCTGTATGTAAACATGCCCATCCATCATCAGTGGTGCAAGGGTGTAAATAACACCTTTTTTTGGCCAGACCATGTTCAATTTTGTGGATCCACTAAAATAGTGGTGCCCAACCTTATTACACAGCAGGGCCACATAAACCTAAGCACAATCTTGTATGGGCCAAACAGCTTCTACATATTTTAATAAGATTTAAAATCACCTTGTACTGATTTATATTTTAAGTTCAGCTTGTTTTGTATGTATTTAGATAGGCTGTTTCTATATATAGTATTGTCTATGTAAAAAAACAAAAAAAGAAATCCGGTGCCTAAAACGTGTATCAGAATAATAGAAAACAGGAAAAAGAACAATAGAGAACACATAACCCTCTCACGAATAACAAATAAGGAGTGCACTTTCTGAGTTAGCGAAAAGGCTCAGGTTGTTTCTCAGCAAGCAGTTTGTTGAAGTTTGGATCAAAGTGAGAGATTCTCATCCGAAGTACAGCATGCAGATGGTCAGCTGTTAGGTGGTATCACAGATTAGACTTATTCAGCTTCATAACAGAAAGTTTGTTCACAGATGTGTATGCTGCCAAAAATTGTGCACGTTCGTCTAGCAAATCTGTGCAGATTTTGGAACTGATCATTGGGCAGCAGTGAGTAAAACTCCACAAGTTTCTTTTCATGAAACATATCCTTTAAATACGAGTTAAATTGCAGTTCAATCAGTTCCATTTGCAGAGAGGCAGGGAACATTATCCATGTTACCAACAAAGAGATTTTCAAACAGATGCTTGCGTGTGACTTGAAGTCAGAAAATCTGTCCTCAAAATTATCATCTAAGAGGTCCAGTTATTTTACCATTTGGGCACATGGGGCCGGAACACTGACCTTTTCATTCATTTTCGCAGAAAGGAAAGTGAGATAGTGCTCCCCTCTTTGAGTGTTGTTGCAAGAGTCTCAGTTTTGCTTGAAAGGCTTTATAACTGGGAAACAAGCCTTTCTTTACCTTGCAACTTTAAATTGAGATCATTCAAATGGCTTGTTAGCATAGGCACCGACTCTGTGGGTGCTCTAGGGCTGGAGCACCGCTGGAAAAAATTAGCGGATGCTTAGCAGGCCTTAGGAAATACTCTGGTGGGCCACTGTATAGCTCATGAGCCGTAGGTTGGGCACCTCTGTACCAAAGTTAATGCAGATGTGGTGTGTGGCAATTCTTCAACAAAGGATATAAGAAACTTCATAAGTCACATTTCTACCTTGAAAGAGAGACTGGCACTGCTTTTCTCAGATTGTCCCTGTGACTCTGATGTGAGAATTTCACCTTTAATGTTTTTCCCCATAATTTTTACTTCTCAGTAATTTACAGTTATTGTGATCTTGTCTTCATTTTAGACACCTAGATATTATAGTGATAAATAATAATAAAATTTTAAATCCCATCCTTCATGTGAGTGATAGAGAGTGATGCTTTTACATAGGCATTGCCACCAACCAAATATGCATTCTCCGGTTCCTCATCTGGCTTCTAACTGTGGGAAATCCAGCCCAGTGACTGATTGGATATTTATTTTACTGTTTAGCTAAGAATATGATCCTGAGTCTATATCAGTATTAAATTTAGGAACTATATATCAGGTATATCAAATCATAGTAGGAACGAAGAGATAGCACTAACTATATATGCTTTGTTTTTAAATCAAAAATCTGTCCTCCATCTTCACCCTGCATTCCTCTCAGTAGATTTTAAACATAAACAGTTATCTTTGGAAATGTGTTTAATACCAAAGTACCTTAAGAAAGAAAAACTGCCCATGGACATGGCATAGATGGGACTGGATTGATTTTTCACTGTGACAGAGATAGTCACCAACAGCTTGAGTCTTGGCATGAACTGCAAAAGCTGAAAGAACCCTCGAGCAAGTGATTAGGGCATGTCATAAATATAAAGGGAAGGGTAACAACCTTTATGTATGCAGTAGCATAAAATCCCTCCTGGCCAGATGTACTGAGAGGGTTAAGAAGCTCACATAACCTGGTTGGCACCTGACCAAAAGGACCAATAAGGAAAGAAGATACTTTCAAATCTGGGAGGTGGGGGGAGGTTTTGTTTGTGCTCTCTTTGTTTGTTCCCTCTCTGGACGGAGAAAAAGACCAGGCAGGTAAAACATCTCCTGAAAACATACGTGAAATGATACATCTAAAATTACAGAAATTGTAAGTAAGGGCAAGGAAATGTGTTAGATTATCGTTTGTTTTAGCTTGTGAATTTTCCCTATGCTAAGAAGTAGTTTTATTCCTGTTTTTTGTAACTTTGAAGTTGAGCCTAGAGGGGAATCCTCTGTTTAAATCTTTTTATTACCCTGTAAAGTTACCTTCTATCCTGATTTTGCAGGTGTGATTCTTTTACTTTTTCTTTAAATAAAGTTCTTCCTTTAAGAATCTGTTTGATTTTTAGTGTCCTAGAGACAAAGCATCTGGTCAGTACTCATATTATTCTCAAGCCTCCCCAGGAAAGGGGATGAAGGGGCTTGGGGGAATATTTTGGGGGAACAGGGACTCGAAGTGACCCTTTTCCTGAATTTTTGTGTAAATCACTTGGTGATGGCAGCAATACCGTCCAAGGACAAGGAAAGGAATTGTATCTTGGGGAAGTTTTAACCTAAGATGGTAGAATATAAACTTAGAGGATCTTTCATGCGGCTCCCCATATCTGTACCTCAGTGTGGGGAGGAAACCCTGACAGGGCAGCATTCTGTTTAATGGCTGAGCTAATTGTTAAAGAGATCATTCACTAAGCTATTTAGGCTCTGTTGATGCTAGTCCAGGAATGGTGATCACTGAAGTGCTTCTAAACATGTTTTTCAACTGGTTCAATTTGACTCTGTTTTAAAACTGGCTCAGGTTAACTCTGATCATCTAGTGCAAGCAAGGCCACGCTGTCTGGAACCACTTATCCACACTGATAGATCAAATCACATTTATACTGAGTGAACTAAAACAAATTTTAGAAGGGTTTTTAAAACTGCCTCAACAGATGTGGTTCCTGGCCCCATCTAGAGAGGCCCTCAGAAAACCAGAGGTTAGGTATGTATGGGTGAAAGGTGGATGGACTAATGATCTGAAGGTTAGGAATACTTAGGATTCAGTCAGCACCATCTTTCTGGTGAGGCCTGGCACACCACAGGACACACCATGATCAGGTGCCTCACAGGCTGGAAGAGTATCATCATAAATTACAAGGAGAGAAAAAACATTTACCAGAAAAATAACTATCTGCATTTTAATCTAAGGTAGGGAGAAAAAAAAGTAAAAAACAGTTTCACTTTCTCATGTTGATTGCCTAGAATCATTCACTAGGAAATGATAAACTACTGACGAACCTTCTACACAGCTCAGTGCACAGAGGTTATAATGACTGTAGGTTATTCATTACTCTAATTTGAAAATCTCTTCCTCTAGCCATTCTTTTGCCATAAAAACAAAGATGTCAGCTGAAGACATGTCTTCCAGGCGGAAGATGCAAGCAGTTTTGCATCAGGGGAAGGGGGGGGAGGGTAGTGATCCCTCTTATTTTGGTATTTACATTGTTAGCTAGTATTGCTATTTCAAAATTATTATCTTAGTCTTACTTTAGCGCCTGAGACACTGAGCACAAAACCAAGCACAGCTTCCATCCACAATAGTTTTGTCCTACTGTGATCTCATTTTTTTTTAATTCAGCATGGATTTTGAGCACTTAGACTGAGCTAATTCAATTTACAGGCTCATTAACCAGACAGCAAATCAAATGGGAATACAATGTGTCTCCACAGGAGTTCTCAATATCAGTTCCAGTACCTATAACTTTTTAATCTCTTAGGATATTGCTGCAGCATAAATCTGCCTTCCCTATAGCTGAAATCCAAGAGGGGATCTACCTGCTAGCCAAGAGTTTGATGGGAGAGCAATGTAATGCCCCCTACTCCAGCAAAATATATATACTTGAGCATTCTGAGGAAGTATATAAAAGTGATTGACTTGACAAAAAGGGGAAATTTATATCTATATTTTATTCTAAATGCCAGTTATTTCTGGTTTAATTTTAAGAATGCTTTGCCTGACCGCCAAATAAAACCCCACCTGTTGTTTGTCCTATGGAATCCATTTTCTTACACTGTAACTCTTCAAGCTGCACTAACAGCATTTCTCAAAGCAGCTGACTCAAGAGCAGATCAGTCTGGTTTGACTAGTGAGACTTGGATGATGCCTCAGGACTACTTCTTAGGAATTGTTTGAAAATTAAGGGAAATACTTTTCCTTCCTTTTTAACTGATTGAGTGGTGCTGATTAAACCTTGTATTTGGGACAAATGCCCCATATGAGAGTTTGCCTGAGTGAAGGCTATCGCAGTAGACCCTATGTTCTCCCAGATGTATTTTAGCATGTGCATGTTCCCCCATAATACCCTAACATGTTGAGTCTCCCTGTCAAGGCAATGTGGCCCACCCAACTCCTTGGTCTAACTATCAGTCATGTAGCATCTTCACCTAGGAGAAAGGTCTAGGACAATGAATCCTGTTTCTAACATGCTCACCACTGTTGCTAAATGTATTTAATATGTAATAGAGATAGGAAACTACTTTCCTGGTCAGTGTATTATGTTTGTATAACTGTTTGCTAATGCGCTCTCTCTCTTTTAGTCTCTCTTTTCTCTGGAGCTAAATATACATCAGTTTTCATTTGAATCGTAATTAAAATAGAAGTGTCTCATACTTATTATGCATTTTATTTTCCTCAGAAACTAATTCCAAAGCTTGCTCTCACTTCATTAGATTCTCAAGTTGTTGAGGAGGGGACAGGGTGAGTATAGTCACAAATGTTAGGTGTCAAGGCTTCCTGCAGTGTGAGAAGAACTCTCAGATCTCAATAATTCAGTAGGAGTTGTGGATTCTCAACACCTCACAGGATTAGTGTTGATCAAAAGATATTGCCTGTGCCACTATGTAGCCATGTTAGCCATTAAGCCCTGGTCTCCTGTTACACCACACACAAAAATCCCTTTCAGTTCAGATAATTAACACCTAGTGTCAGCTCTCAAAGAAGAAAACTATTTGATGGCCAGAACTATGCTTAGTACATTCAGTAACACAATTATCACTGGTACAATAGGCACCTGGAATGTCTGACACTACAGTGACACGTCACAGACTTGCATTGACATGAGAAGTTCATTTTAATGCCCAGGGACTTACATATATAAGATTTAAAATCTTCCTTCTGCCATTTTGCTTCCCTTCTGTTTTGAGACCAAATGGCATGTGAAGCCTTCCTCGGTACTCTGTATCCTACAGGTTCTGGCCAGAGCCTTAACTGCCCTGCAGTAGTTTCATGCCATTCCAGCAGCAGAAACCAACCTGAAAGCTGATTTGGGTCACCCAATGAGAATTCCCCTTAGGTAGGGGAACCTATTCGGTGGTGCAGATCTACCACAGTGGTTTCTACTGCACGTTCTTCCCAACTTCCCCAGCAGAGGGATCATGAAACAGGAACAAGGACATCTACACCTACACACTGATATCCATTGCCATAATGGCTCTTGGGGTAGTTTAGAACAGCCATCAGGCTATTTAAACATGTGCCAAGAAATGGCCTGGCTCTGAGTCACTTGCAGTATTGCTAACCCCAAATGTTCAAAAATCATGAGATTAAATAAGCCCTCATTATTTTTAAACCAAATAATTTTGGGGGAGAGGTCTTTGCTTTCTGGGTTGTGAGGCTTTAATTTGCACTTGCTTCATATTTTTGTAAAAAGGAACAGAGGGTCCTGTGGCACCTTTAAGACTAACAGAAGTATTGGAGCATAAGCTTTCATGGGTGAATGCCCACTTCATCAGACAGAAGTGCCTTGCGTCTGATGAAGTGGGCATTCACCCACGAAAGCTTATGCTCCAATATTTCTGTTAGTCTTAAAGGTGCCACAGGACCCTCTGTTGCTTTTTACAGATTCAGACTAACACGGCTACCCCTCTGATACTTCATATTTTTGAACATTTCTCTGTAAGCATGAGAGTTAAACATGTGCTTTAAAAATACTGAGATCCTCATGCAAGATCTGGGTTCCAGCTACTGGGGTTTAAAAAAAATTGTGAGACTTGTGATAAAAATGGTGAGAGTTGGCACCATTGCATGTGAGGATCAGGAGGTGGAGGGTAGAAACAGCGGCACCTTTGCTCTGCTCCCCTGAGCTACACTGAGTACTCAGCTGCAGTAAGTCTAATGAATTGGGCATACGGGTTGGTTATAAAGCAATACATCACAAGCTATTAAAATCTCCATCAAAGCTAAGTATATAAAGTGAGCTGTCAAATGACCAGCAGGAAGATTAGTTTTTTAACAGTCTGTTGTGTGTACATGAGATTGTTTGACAGTGTGTTTCATAAGATGCTGGAGACCATGTTGTTGCCACTTAAACTAGAAAGTTCTGAATCAATAACTTAGAGAATTCTAAGAGGTGCTGCAAATGAAGAATTAAAACAATCCAGCTGAGATGATATAAATAAATCCCATATGATCAGAGAAAAATGGTTGAACTTCAGCTTTAACTATTAAAACAGGTAACATCAAATTTTAAGTATGAGTGAATTTATTTGTAAATGAATTTAGGATAAAAAATATGTACTATGGAAGTAATTCTAATGTCACCTGTGCCGCTGTAAATCCAAATAAATCCCATTGAAGTAATTGAAGTTACTCTGTATTTTTAGTGGTGTAACTGAACAGAATTTGGCCCGAGGACATCAAAGGAATTACAATGATGAATTTGCTCCCATGAGTAATTGCAGGAATTTACAGCTGAAAACCAGAAATGAGCATTAAATTAGAAATAGAAGGCTTTGGGGAACACTAAGAATCAATCAGTATGAACTCTCTTTTCCCACAGTTATTTAATTTAGGTATGGAAGATGCTACAAATTCGATATTTTATATCTGCTAGTCAGGAGGAAATAGTTGAAGAGTCCTAATTAAATTTTCAAACTATTTATTTTCAACATTAATGTGATCCCAAAAGCTCAAAAATAGAACCCTTTTCTAAAAAAAAAACCTCTCCAGAGACACATGACTTAGATAAAATTCCTTGTTTGATATCTCTCTGGTTAAATAGTGCATGGATAATTTTTTGTATCTCTGAATAAGTGAAGAGAACACCCCCAGATTTGGACATTGTCGAAGTTCAC